CGTTTGGTGTTGAGTTGAGGCAAGCCATAGAAGGTGTTCGATCCTCGAGTTTGTGCGTAGTCTATTATTATCGTCTAGAACCTATCTAACTTGCTACAGGGGTCCGTGAGGGTGAAAAGGCGATTGTCGAGCGTGTCAAGGAATCATGCAGAGACTTGCTCTCAGAGAACAAGCTCTAAGCTTAGGAATGTTGCAGAGAAAGCTTTAAGCGTAGTGTATGTAATGTACGAATATTAATGTTTGATACAAATTTGCTTTTTTATGATATGGTGAGTGATGACTCTAAGTAAACGAATATGACACAGGCTTTAACTGCAGTGTTTATGGTATGGGGATTAAATTTAGCTGGAATCTCTTGACTAATTTCATCCAATCCAAGCAAATTTACTGCCGATGAAGTCGAGATATGTGGTGAGACGATATGAAGCTAACTGGTCGCCAGTAATTCTTAAAGTATGAGGATTTGACGGGTGTTTGAACGTCGTAAAGTGCTTGTACGGCTTGTGCGTTCCTGGATATAGGATCTTATCCGAACCCGACATCAATCTTAATTCCCCTGCAGTGCACATGGGGCTGAACATACAGCCTTATTTAGTTATTAGATATCAAATATAGGTGTGAAGGAGTATTTTGGCACGAAAATACTGGCAGTAGGGACGTGGGTCGTATTTGGAAAGTTAACCTGGTACGCGAGCATGATATTTCGTGATATTAGCGTTGTATCTACTATAAACACATATATATATATATATATATATAATAGGCCATACATACCCTGCGCTGCCCTCAGGGAAGATGCTCAGAATGATACGGATACACGCATGCAAATGAAGTCACTGATAAGCCATACAAGCCAAATAAGCTGTTTGATATCTTGTTGAGACCTTTAACTTGAAGTAACGACGTCATACTTCTTCATATTAAAAAGAAAGTCATAATTACTATTAGGTGTTATTATGAATGCAAATGTCGTTATAACTCCAATATATGAAGTAATACTCACGATAAAACAAGCCTTGTTTTTTGGCTGGGAATCTCGGCTGAGGATCTCGACTGAGTCTAGGCTGAGACCCATCAGTATAAATGTGCAACATAGACGTCCGCTACAACCATGCATATAAATATATACCACAAGGTTAAACTTTGATTGAGTATTATGAATACATACGCTATATACGCTAGTTGCAAGTGTAACAATTAAAGTCAGCAAAACCTCTAACTAGCATCGGGTGGAGACGAGTTGAAAGACATTATTTCCAAGCACGATAACGATACAAACTTTATACCTACTTCAACGCCCTTTGTTAGCAAAAAAACGCTGCATTTTTCGCGAGGTCAACCAATGACCGCAACCGAAAGTTCAAAGCAGAATATTCCCAAATCAATGGAATCCTCAAGGCTTTAAAAGCGAAAGGAGTGAGCTTAAGGGGTGCTGAAAGTATATGTATCCTCACTGAGAGAGGCAATGGACATCAGCACCGTGCAGAGTCAAGAGCAGTCTTCAGACACTTGAATGGTATAGATATGGTTTTCTGCAGCGATGCTACCCGTTTAACAAGAAACTATGATGACAGGAGCTTCCTGAAGGAGGTATTCTCCAGCAAAGCTCTCTTTGTTTTGATCGACGATGACGTCAAGCAGGTTGTTTTTGATGACCTGGACAATATTCAGTTCCCGAGAAAGAGACAGTCTATTATGATATATTGGACTGCAATACGATGAGAATTGAATCCTCTGTGTCTTTCTCTTTTAAACGTTGTCATTTAAATATGTATTCTTTCACAGCTATACATTTGCATACCATCTAGCGTGTATGTCGAAAATGGCCAACGTCGGGTGACAGGCAATGTATTTTGTGCCACAGATCGAAGAGTGATATGTAGTAATACTAGTGCGCAATACAACACGCAACTCTTCACGAGACAACGCACCATCAAGGTGGCCTCTCAGCTAGCATTAGCAATGGAAAGATTGTTCACAAAAAACATAGTAACGTCGTTTGTTACCCTACTAATACATTCATCCGCTAGAAAATAAAACACCACTCCGCTAATTTACATTAGTTACTCTATTTGTTTGGCTGTAAAGAGTTTTACTGCATTATCATATCTTCATTATCTTCATCACCCATATCACCCTTATCATCCTCATGGTCATTAGCATTTGGTGCTGGCCTGTCGAATGGCGGTGCATTTGGCAGCGAAGGAGGTCCTGGCGGCCCCAGGTTATGTATAGGCCTCATAATTGGTGGCGGATTTTCAAAATATTCATACACTTTAGGCCTTTGGTTTTCAGGAATATCTGAGAACTCGGGCGCTGGTGGTATAGGTGGCATTGGTGGTAGTGGTCCAGGTTGTTCGGGAGCTGGTAGTGGCGGTCGCAATGTAGCTGGTAAAATAGGCTTGATATTATGATGTCCAATGAGCTCATCAGGTATAAGCTTCTTGGCGTCACTGCAATCAGGTTCATTCTGATGTAAGATAGCATTCTTCACTGGCTTTTCCCCAAGAGCCTCCCACGTCGTGAGGTTTGGATTGGTGTACGCGTCTTTGAAATACTCAATGTAAGCTGAAGTTGGCATGTTGGGCGGGTCGCAACCAATATTTATCCTATCTCTCCGTTGATATACTCTAACCCAATCAATTGACATCACGTTCGGGAATGATCCAGCCAATCCGTCCCAATCGATTCCACCGAAATTGTTTGATATTCCATTGTTAATGATCATGTACATTGGTTCGGCAGTAATCAGTCTATCAGATATACCTAAGTCTGGTACAGCTCGCATAGAATCAGCAAAAACGGTGTATCTATTTTCCTCTGCTATATGCCATGCGATGTATCCTTCTTGACCATACCCAGGATTGTATTCGAGACCATAGCTAGAATAATTACCACCAGATTTTTCGTAAGCACTTGGGTCAGTGACTAAACGTATAGAAGTTGATTGTTGCCATTCACCACCCTGGAACTCGTTGTACCTATCCTTTTCTGGGTACTTAAGGTACATTTCTGTGTCATTGCGCCAATCGTAATGCGCATTAAATGGCGCGAACTGGCCACTCATGGATACCAAGCTCTGATCGATAGCAGGATCGACTAGTGCTTCAAAGACATCTATTTCAGCCGCCGAGCGTCCAACAAATGTACCATCCTCATGCATAGGACCAGGATGGATTTCGTTAGCGCATGTGCAACGAGAGAGTCTCTGTCCAGGCAAAAATGACAATGCTTTTCCTTCAATCCCAGACGTGTAAGCGAGTTCTGGGTAATCCCCCATTGTTTGATTCTGTAATGTTCCAACGTCACATGAATCGTACGTGTATGGCCACATCCCATCCAATGTTGCACCATATCCCGCTCTACCGAGATTACCCATAATCCAAAATGCAGGCCAAATACCCCAGACGTCATTCTTTCCTGGTAACTGTACGTTCGCTGAGACGTATCCTCCTGTGAAGCAGAATTTGTTCCCTGTGCTGAATTAGCTTGTTACGAGTAATCTATCCGACGCAACATACATGAAGTTAGCATTGCACCTTCAAATTCGAGGTCGTGAGATGCTATTGTATCGAGAGTGAGACGTAGACTACCATTGTTTGTGGTTGCCTGGCGTGGTGAATACCACTTTGATCGCGTGAGAAATATCAAAACAAAATGATACGACATACTTCAAGATTATGGGTAACCCAGTAGTGCATGTCTGCAGCTTCCCAAAATGGATCGTCCCCTGGATAGAATGTCCTACCATCCTGGTTGAACTCGTCTGAGAACACTAACTCATATACATGTCCATCAGTGCCGACACGCGTACGAGACTCCTCTGGTGTGTCTGGATCAATTAGGCCCCTCCGTGGACCACCCCAGGGTATCTAAATATATTAGCATTTATTTAATATTATGAACTGCACCCACTTGACCAGTCTTATTGTAGTTTGCGTACTGTCCATGATGGTTTATCTGTTTTGATGCATTGTAAATAGAATAAAGAGGATATCCAGCACTGTAAGATGTCAGTTAGACAATGATGTTCGGTGTGTGCTACTTACAACAAAGAGAGTAATCCAAATGCTGTCACTGCAAGCAAACCAACGTTACAGAATGCTCGCGAGTTTAATATATTCGTTGCCTTGTAAGTTTCGTCCCTGGTTTTTATAAGAAGAAGTCAAGACGTGGAGGATACATACCAAATTGCACTTCGTTCTGGATCGCTAAGAGGAATTAGTGGTCTATGCTATTGTTGGAAAGGACTTACTGAAACAGATCGTCAATTTCTTCGTCTTGAGACCATCCCTTATAGCTTATAGAAGCAGATCAGCAGGGAGTGAGCAGATAGGAGACATTTGTTCAAGGCACTCACAAATTTCGTTTGTGCTGTGGTCTCTCATCTAATAATCCAAGACCTACGGCCATTTAGGTATATCTTGAAGGTGCGGCTAATTTAGTGACTGCCAAGATGTACCGAGCGCACAGCATAGATGTGTACCTCAATGTTTTATTAATTAATAATATTGAGGCATATAAATAATCACAATCTAAGGGATAAATTCTTTACAAGTAGTATCTGAATTTAATATCACATTCAGGAGGTTCAGGAACACCGTGAAAACTTCAGAGAGTATATATGAAAGCAAATATTAAGGCATAATATTATTCATTGTGTACAATTCTAATCTTCAAGATATGATGAAGTTAGGATCCCATTATGGTACCATCGAGGAAAGTTTATAGATTATTTAATTCTAACTAGAGACTTATTGTAAATATATTCTGCTGTTGTTCACTAGTTTTAATAATAGCTATTCTGCTTAAAATCATTGACGAGATCTACCCAAAAAGGAAGGTAAGGTGTGGTATGCCGCAGTCATTCAGGTTAGTGAGGCATTGAATCTTCCTTTAACACTCACTATCAACATCACTGTATAATAAAGACAAGTTCGTGTTTCAATGGCACATGGCAATTCATTCGGCGTCAACAGAGCTACGAATACCTTACTATTAGAGTATTGTCAATGACATATTAAATACAATCAATTGAGATAAAATGACTGGATACTTCTAGATCTATTCTAGACCGCTATGCATCCGGCTTTGGCAGTGACCTATTCATATTTGGCTACTTCACTCTCTTCATACCAAAGGCGATAATATAATGGCGACTCCAGCCTGGGTTAGACTGCATAGTAATCAATAATGTCTAAGGAATTATTGGAATCAAAGGAAATTGAAGTTGTAGATGTTAAGACGACTGATGACTTCGCATCACAAGAGAAGCAAGTTCTTAGGAAGATAGATCTGCGAATATTGAGCCTCACGGCGTTAGCATACATGCTAAATCACATAGACAGAACCAACTTGGGTAGGTAATATACATTCATTGATCAAAATATCTTTAATTAGCGAATAGCCAATGCGATAATCATGAATACAGATGTCCCAGGGTCATCAATGTCAGAGCAACTAGATCTACATGGTAGCAGATTTGGGCATATAATCACTGCCTTCTATGCCACTTATATCATATTTGAGATACCCAGCAACATTTTGTTGAAAAAATTTGGACCTTCAATCCATATTTCTCGGATTGTCATTGGATGGGGTATTGTGACAACCTGTTCAGCGGCTGTCCAGTCTTATGAGGGTATGATTGTAAACCGTATTGCATTGGCCATCGCAGAATCTGGCTTTTTCCCTGGTATCCTTTATTACTTTACTTTCTGGTATAACGATAGCGAAAGGGCTTTTAGGTGTGTAGGCACTTTGCCGAATGCCAAATTACTTACATTTTCAAAGACTTGCTTTCTTCGTAGCATTTGGTAGCCTTTCAGGTGCATTTTCTGGTCTGTTTGCAAGTGGATGCTCGTACTTGAATAACCTAGGGCATCCTGCTCTTGCTGGTTTCAGATGGCTTTTCCTTCTCGAAGGCATTCCTACAATCATACTTGGTATCTGTATTTACTTCTGGCTTCCAGATTATCCTGAAACTACGAAGTTCCTTACAGAAAAAGAACGAGAGATTGTTCTCATGAGACTGGGAGCCTCAGTTACGAAGGATGATGACAAAAAACTAAAGATGTCGTCAATATGGAATGTACTCAAGCAGTGGGATTTCTGGTTCATGGCCATATTGTGGATGCTTCTCGGACATGGCACAGCTGCGTTCTCCTTTTTTGCTCCAACTATCATTAATGACCTTTCCGAGGATTATGAAGGTGTAATTGCACAACTCCTCTCGATTCCACCGTCAGTACTAGCATGTCTCTTGACTATTGCATCTGGATATTTTTCTGATAAAATGAAGAACCGGCCAGCATTTATTATAGCAGGTGTCATCTCTGTTAGTGGTGGATATCTTATATTGGCAGTCGATAAAAACGTTCTTGCTCTACGTTTACTCGCTGTTTTCCTTGTTGCTCTAGCAAATGTTTCCATCGTCCCATTAGCGGCATATAGACTGTCAATACAAGGCCTCAAGGCCAACACTGATAGCCATGCCATCGGCTTTGCCAGTAGTGCATCAGTCGCAATAGCAAACGTATCTGGTATTACAGCGCCTCTGATACTCGATAGTTCAATGAAATTTGAATATAAGTGTTTTGTCTTTCTGGTATTATTCATAACAGCAGGTATGCAAGCACTGTTCTGTCTTTGGTGGTGGGGACCAGGGGTTGAAACAAAAAAAGCAAGAGAGGAGGGAGCCTGCTAAACTAACGGCATTAGCGTCTTCTATTGGGATTTATTTTGGGTTTACTTTTCATTTCTATCTTTGTTACATGAATTTGTTTGCTTCTGAAAGAGCTTTGCTGGATATTTATAAAGACAATGTCAGTATTGTCGACTATTAATAACACAACCTAACTCCTATTGACAGGCTGTCATTTTTCACAAGATTTTCACAAGCATGTTTCACATTCGATCAACGCTAGAAGTAGTTTCACCTACCATCACACTCTCTAAATAGCTGAAGGCTTTAAATTCGGTGAATGACTTTAAGTACCGGTTGTTCCGCCACCATATTAAATTTCGGTATGATAGCGAAGGCCACTGATACAATCCACTACCGCCCATTATAAAAGAGGCTCACTTCTCTTATGTTCGCCAACGCTGAGAACCATGATAAGACCAAAAGTATCCGCAGACATGTCGAAACAGATGAATAGATTGTACAAAGGTCATGTACAAAGATTATCTGCTTCCGCCAGAGTACTTAAAGTAAGTGAGAGCGCTTTATAAAAGCATAATGATACTAAGTATTCCCATAAGGATACTGGCTCCATTGCTAGTGCCTTTAACAACTTCAGTGGAAATGAAGACGTTGTCTTACCCTCACGTTTCGTCGACTTGAAGAAAGATCTCTTTAAAGAAAGCCTAGTTGAGACTTGGAGAGATGTACTAGCCAGTTTAAAGCTGGCAGTTGAGGAAGTATCTGAGAAAGGAGCAGATATGATTCCTAGAGTAGACTTTAACCAAATCAAAGATGGTAGAGTAGATGACAGTCTTGTTGAACGCATAAAACGTACTGGTACATGCGTGATAGAAGGTGGTGTACCTTTGAATCAAGCACTCGGATGGGAAAAGTCTATCCTAGAGTATGTCGATGCCAATGAGGATAAAGTTAAAGGGTTTCCTCAAAATGATATTCAAGTTTATGAGTTCTACAACTCCATCGCCCAAACTGAGGCTAGAGCACATCCAAATCTGATGGCTTCTCAAAAGTTTTTACTTGGTCTCCTCCATTCTACTGACTCTCAGTCGGAAATCAGCCTGCAAACACCAATCTCCTACTTTGATAGAGTACAGCACCGCAAACCAGATGATGAGTGAGTAACAACAATAATCTCTTGTTTGCTTATGTCCATTCTAACATTCTCTGTCTAGATCGTTCGCACTTGGTCCACATATTGTAAGTCAGTATTAGTGAAATTACTTCCTAACTCGAGTAGGATGGTGGTAGCTTAGAGCGCTGGGAAGACCCAGGGTACAGAAGCTGCTGGAAGTATATACTAGATGGTAACTGGAGAAAGCACGATCCATTTGACGTGACACCACGTCTCAGTGCTAATTTTGACCTTTATGGCGCTATTGGTGGCTGCTCTGTTTATCGTCCATATCAAGGTTTAACTGCCATTACTCCAATAAAGTCACATGAAGGTACACTCAGAGTTCTTCCTATTGATTTGAGACTCACAACTGCGTACACTATTTTGAGACCTTTCTTCACAGTCAAACAGGACCCGCAAAACTTGGACTTCGACAATTGGAAGTTAGACCTGGATCAGAGCCGCTTCCCAGGTTGTGCTCCGGCTAGCACACTAGAAATGTCCGAAACGAGCCACCCACATCTTCAACTTTCGCGTACAGTCACCTCATTGCCGGATCTGAAACCTGGTGATCAATTTTATTGGCATTCTGATGTTATTCACGCAGTAAACGCTAAACATAATGGTGATCGTGACTCTGGTGTGTTTTTTATTCCCGCGGTTCCGTTGACGGTCAATAACGCCCACTATTTGAAAGATCAAGTTCAAACTTTTAAAAAAGGACTTCCTGGTAAGGATTTCCCACAAGGAGAGGGTGAGAGTCGCTTCGTTGGTAGAATGGACCCGAATGATGTACTTTCCAAATCATCACGTCAAATGCTCGGATTGGAACGTTTCACGATGCCGGATCAAGCTACTCCAGGTGAGAAGAGTGCCATCGAGAAGTCAAACAATGTCTTATTTGAGTGAGACTCGTAAGATGCTTTCTCTGATTTCTTCTGTAACCTCAAACGATATTCTTTTTCGAATTTTCAGATTAATTATCTCATTTTGATGTTTTGAACGTAGTAAACGAGGGTACCATTATTCTTTTAAATGATGAAGGTGTTAAAAAACTGTAAAGCTCCGAATGTAGCGTTAAAATTACCCCTACAAAATAAATAATTGGAGCTTATTCGTTTTAATGTATTTTCGTGTAATATATGAGGATATAGATCTCAATAAATCACTTGTGTGTTGTCTTTGAGCGTGGCTGTCAGCCTTACAACTTCACTGAAGACAATCGGTACAAGCAAGAGCAGACCACGAGAATCCAATAGTAATTATTACATAATATAATTTACCGTACATGCTCTAGAACAATAAGTTTAAGATCGTAGCGATATGTCTTAGTACTATAAATACCGTGTCTGTGCGTGGTAGCAATAAATATTCACGTTCAGAATCTTTTCTGCTTTCGCAGTTACTAAGTTTTCTTTAAAAGATTTTGAGCCACTGGAACCGTTCACTAAGAGCTTTTTTGCTTAGACTTTTGCAAATAGCCGCGTAGAGTCCGCACATACGGTGTCGCTTCGTTGAGTAACATGTCCTAAGCGCAAAGTCAATTATGGTACCATGAGTAGGGTTGGGCCTTCCATAATTGGCTATTCTGTCTATGTTCTATTGTAATAAATGTCTGCATCTCCTAGAATACATATCAACTGGACTACTATCTCCGGTCTACCATACATTTGATCTCCTCAATTTGGTCGAGCACTTATCTCAACAAATATTGCCCTGCATTTGTCGTTTTATTCGCATTCCACTGCGTTTTTATCGGTGTCTTCATGAAGGCGCATGTGAGTCAAATATATTGGTCGCAATAGATGTTTTATTGTTTAATAAAGGGGAAACTGCAAGTCTCGTCACCACAAATCCGTCATATGGAGTATATTTCAGTGTGCCAGTGAGATTTGACAACCAAAAATGACTTCTTGATCGTATGAAAAGCTCTACTATAACGCGAAGCTCGCCATACTGACACTCATCAACGGTTTTTGACCATTAACTAGTAAGATGTTATACTTTAAAACATCATATAATTACTTTAGCTCGGTGGATGCTATATTCAACATACTTCGTGCTTGGAATACATCTTTCAGACAACGTGATGCTTTGATAGATCTTGTAGTCCTAGAATCACGTGATATACATTCTATATTCTTTAAGTAATTCTTTTTGATGCGACGGTCGCGTTTTGAAACTAGCCTCCATATAATCACGGCGTGGAACGCGCAAAGTTCGTAGGGCCACCATGTGCCATCGTAGCTGTACCAGAATCTACACATGCTCTTTATGTGGCTCATTATGCCCCTTATATTTTTCTCGGTGTTTAGCAATGCATATTGGAGCCCACAGAGTAATCTCAAAATTTTCGCGAAAATGAAAAAATCGCGGTTGTGACTGGAATGTGAAGATATGTGGATGAAAATTGTATCAGAATATGAAGCGATTTTACAGTCATAAATGTGCCAATTTTGGACGCGTTTGACGCGTCACTTGCGACATCACAGAATTTCAAAAGTGCAGTTCTCTGGGCGAAAATTACGAAGCCTCCAAATTGGCAGTAGGGCCCGGACTGTAGCGACGATTTTCACGCAGATCGTTACCATGTCAGCCACCCAAAATCGGTCAACTAAGGTTTTGGTCACTTCGCACTCGTGTAATATATGTAGGGGATGAATAAGCGAGTACTTGAATGGCATGTTAGGGGTAAGTTAAAAGCGAGGAATCCAGATTTGAGTGTTAATTAACCGAAGATAAGAGAGAAAGGGGAGAGAAAATCTGAGTGGTATGAGGAGAGGAAGTCAGCTATGATGCAGAGACGGACACCCAGGTTAGTCTTGTGAGTGGGTGTCGGTGGACTGCTAGCTGAGGGGTGCCGTTCAGGCTCATATAGCTGGGCTGTGGTGGAGACTGGATATCGCCGAGCCAGTCAAACACCATGGTCGGCTAGGGAGCCTGAGGTCGGTGATTGGAGCCTTGAAGGAAGGCTCTGGTTGCCGAGCGGGCGGGTTTGAAAGGCCTGCTTGCGGTGAGTAGGGATGGGAGTAATAAGAAGGGTGAGCCGCGAAGCGGCGAAAGGAAAATATTTGGGGTCCGTGAGGGCGCCAAAATGCCGCGACAGGGCCTTGCTGGGGATGCCCTAACCTTGGTTTTTGTTAGAGGTGCGCTGAGAGTGCACTTGTTGGGCGGGAGTTGACTTGTTGAGCGGAGGCGATTGACGCGCGCGCTTCAAAATGGAAGGGGTGATATCCTGTCGGAGGGCCAAAATTCGAACCGCGGAGATACTAAGATAAAATTGCAGCCTTGTAGAAATATGAATCGGCATGTACGCGGAAAGCAACAAGACATCAGACGGGCACCTCTGCTAGTACCATGGTGGGGGACCACATGGGAATCCCTGGTGCTGTGGTTTAATTTTTTGGATTTTTGGAGGATGTGTGGGCGAGATTTGGAGAGGTTGTGTTGCGAGATGCGGGCATGTGCATGCATGTTCACGCATGGTGGAGGGAAGTTTTTGCTGGGAGCACGTAGAAAGCAGGTGCACGTGCGAACCGCGCTGTTAC